CCAGCTTCTTCCTGGTTTCATGAGGTGTCAATGCAGTGCCCTTGACAAGTGCCATGAATAGTTCTGCACAAGCTACCTGCAGGCACATCAGATTAAAATGAAATCATGTGAAGGAAACATAGCCTTCGTGAGGTAATGTCTGACATTTTCTTGGTGCTCAATGTAGTGATAAATCAGTGACACAAACAATTTCCTTCCTGAGATTTTTCTGGATTTAGATCTGCCCTTCTGTAAGTCAGGGGATGTGATTATATTTGTGTGTCAACCTGAGTGGGCCATCTAGTGCTCAGGCATTTTGTCAGACAGTATCTGGGTTTGTCTATGAGGGTGTTTCTAGATGACATGAATATTTTAATTGGTAGATGGGGTAAAGAAGATTGCCCTTCCCAGTGGGGCTCATCCAATCAGTTGAACAAAGTAGAACAAAAAGGTTGACCCTCCCATGAATCAGAGAGAATCCTTCTTGCCAGAGTGTCTTGAGCTAGAACATTGTTCTCCTGCCTTGGGACTCAGTTGGAATACTAACTTCTCCTGTGCCTGAGCTGGCCTTTGGACTGCAGCTATACCACAGGCTCTCCTAGGACTCTGGCTTGTTGACCACAGATTCTGTTGGCCTCCATAACCATGTGAGGCAATTCCCAAAAGTGTCTTCCATATATTAGGGAAGGTGATAATGTTTATTTTTGGTGTCCTCCTTCATTCTTTTCTACCTTCTCCAATTGAACCTTGGTTTTAGTCTCTTTTGATTATGTGGTCTGGAGGATATACCTGGTTTCCTTCAGCCTCACTTTTTCCCCGGTATAAAATGGGAATAATATCCACTGTGAGTTGTTTGCTGGCTGCTGCTGATGCCTGCACTGCTGCTGATGCCTGCACTGCTGCTGCAAAGGGCATTCAGAAAAATATTCTAGCTCTGGCCCTGCTGCTGATATTATGTGGCTTTTGGAAGATCATCTTGTGCTTTGAGCTTCAGTTTTTCAGTGTTATCGAAAACTTCAGTGTGGGTCTGGGGGTGGGCCCCATGCAATTGGAATTATCTTTTAAGATTCTCTGCACATGGGAGGGGTGATTTTTAAGTCTTGTTGCTATTCTTTGTGTTGTTTTTATCTTGTAATCACTTGAAATATATCCAAAATATTTCAATGACAGGAAAGCAAAGCTAATGTCCATTCTGATACAGGGTTTTTTTTTTTTTTTTGGTTGTTGTTGTTTGTTTCATCGTTCATTTTAGTTTTTTCTTCCTCTGTGTGTGAAAACTTTGAAATATATACAAAAATAGACTACCACAAGGAACATCCATATATCCTTACCAGTTGGCTTCAAATTATTAACTCATGACCTATTTTTATTTCATCTCCACCAATTTCCAAATACTGTAATATTTTAAAGCAAACACCAAAGCATTTTGATCATAAGAATCATAGTATATACTTCTAAAAGGTAAGGACTCTTAAAAATTGTATCAATAGCTGGGCATGGGAGCTCTAATAATACCAGTGGCTTGGGAGGCTGAGGCAGAAGGATTGTGAGTTCAAAGCCAGCCTTAGCAAATTAGTGGGGCCATAAGTAACTCATTGAGACCCTGTCTCAAAATAAAATATGAAAAAGGGCTGAGGATGTAGCCTCAATGGTTGAATGCCAGTGGATTCAATCCCTGGTACTAAAAACAAAAACAAACAAACCAAAACCCCAAAACCCAATACTATTATTGCATTTCACCCCATCCTTTTAAAAACTTCTTTTTGATTAATTTAGTAAACTAAAATTTTATACTATTTACTCCCTTTCACCTCATTACTTGGGGTACAATTAAGCCAATGGGCATTTTTCTGAATTGTTGAAGAATTAGTTTGTCACTTAACTAGTGATGTAGTTGTCCTAGTTTGTTTTGCACTGCTATAACAGAATTCCTGAGACTGGGAAACTTATAAAGAGCAGAGATAAGCCTTAGGACTGACTAAATTAATTGAGCTGGCAAGCCCCTGAGGGAAGAACTTAGTTCTGGAAGAGCAGTTTTCCAGAGTCTCATCACCTAGACAACTACACAAGAGCCTGACTCATGCTGTGTAGACAAAGCTCACTTGTGCCTAGACCCTGGAGCCCACAGGGAGCTAGGCCACTGGAACTCAACTAGTAGTTCAGTGCCTAGATCTGGTGAGATGACAAGGTGGATGTTGAGAGCTGGAGGTTATTTGTCATCTGTTTTTCTCTTTGGTTTTGGAAGTGATTTACAAAGGTAATCTGTTAAAGGTTGGCCCTGAGGAAGTATGTGCCTAAAGTGTCAGCTACTCAGGAGACTGATGTAGGACTTGAGCCCATGAGTTTGAGACTAGCCCATGCAACACAGTGAGGCCTTGTCCCCCCACCCCTAATAAACAAACAAACAAACATACAAACACTTCAACCCAAGCCCAAACAAACACACCACCACCACCACCACCACCAAAGAGTTGGCCCTGTGGTTATTGAAACCTAAAGCAGAGTGGGGTCAGCCTGGGTAGGCCTGAGATAAAACACTCTATAATGAACCACACGCTCTCCTCAAAAGTAAAATAGCAAAAGAATTTTGACTACAACCTTTCTGGTTGGTGAATCTTTCATTAAGAATATATTATATAATACAGAATTTACGAGAAAAAAAAAAAGAATGCTCTTAATAACCCTTGCTTAGATGCCAGCTCTGTTGGAATTCAGCTGGGTGTCCTGGCTGCTTACAACCCAGTGAGTTCCCTGTCACATGACACAAAATTAGGGCGCTTTGGACACAGGCTGTCTGTATTGTTTATTCAGGAAGGGCCTGCTGTGGACTGCACAGATCAGACCCTGGAGCCAGCCAGTAAGTGATGTAAATGGGAGGGACCCAGGCAGCTGCCTAATCTTTCCATCAGCAGGAGTTGTACTTCACTTATGCTGTAGATAATTTCAAAGCATTTACTTTGATCCTTTAAGAGAGGCACTAAATTGATTTAGGATTAATCGAGGGATTTTTGTCTAACTTAAAAGCAATACATTATTTAATTTTAAAATATATTGCATGTGCCACTTGTTAAATGAAAGTTAATTTTGGCGTATTTAGTAATTATTTAATGTGTGTTTCACATTTTAAGAATTAGGGATAAAGTGGCTGGATCTTTCTGTGTCATTGGTAGTTAATTTTTTCTTTCTTTCTTTTTTTGAGACAGAATTTCACTATGTTATCGAGGACAATTTGAACTATTGGGTCGAAGTGATCTTCTTGCCTCAGCCCTGGAGCAGTTGTGACTACAGGCATGTACCACAATGCCTGTTTATTTCTTAAATAAACAAGAATATAGGTTTCTGGGATGACTGAGAAGTCAAATTAGTTTCGTGCTTTTGCCTTGTTTTTGTTGACAGGGGTTTCTATTTCTTCTTAGCTGATTTCAGGGTCAGGTTTGGCCTTCCTTTCATTTATTGCCTTCTGGTTAAGATTGTGTGGCTGTCACTTCCATAAATTGTCTGTTTTTTGGATTGTTGCTGTAGACTTGCTTTAGGTTAATGTCAGAAATTCTTATTGGTTGCTGAGTGATGTTTTCTGATACCACTTCTAACAACAGATATCTGTTTTGTTTCCCTAACATCAACCATTTCTCCAGTACCAACAGTTCAGTTCAATTTTGACATTAACTCCAGGAGGGGCTGGGGATATAGCTCAGTTGGTAGAGTGCTTGCCTCACATACACAAGGCCCTGGGTTCAATCCCCAGGCCTATGCACTCCCCGCCCCACCCCCAAACTCCAGGAATTAGTACAGACCCCGTATGTTCAAGGCTTAGTCCCACAAGACTGCCCCTGCTTCAGACACTTGCCACAAATGAGCCCCCAGGACCACACTTGTGTCTGGTCAACACAAATTCAGGGTTTCCCATGATCCCCCTGGGGTTTGATAATTAGCTAAATTACTCCCAGAACACAGGAAAACACATGTTTCCTGATTTATTATAAAGGACATAACTCAAGAATGGCCAAATGGTAGGAATATGAGGGGCACAGAGTTTCCATGTCCTCCCAGAGCACCTCGCTCTCCTGGTACCTTCAAGTGTTCTGGAAGTTCATGGAATCTTATTTATTGTTCAAGAGTTTTAGTAGAACTGAGAATGCAGTACCTCTTCCCTCTTGAAGGTCAAGGGCGGGGCTCAAACTTTCAACCCTCTAATGACAACCTATGTTTGGTTTTTCTGACAACCATCTCCATTCTGAAGTTATCTAGAGGTCCTACCCTGAGCCACCTCAATAGCCTAAAGTTAGGAAATTGCAAGGGTTTTAGGAACTTCATACTATAAATGGTGAATGAAGACCAAGTATATTTTTTATTATACGACAGTTCCAAAATGGGATATTAAAATTGTGATTAGGCATTATTTCCCTGGATTATTCTTTTGTCTTTGGTGTTATATCATATTCTTTCTTCTTCACAAACATTATATGGACCTGGGTTTTCTGATCTGGATTTTTAGATAATGTTACATAGTTAGGATGAGAGAGTAATTGAGATTTTGGGATGTTTTGAAACTTGAGACATTTATTCTAAAGCATTTGTGGTTTTGAGATTGTATATAGTTAAAAAGTGAAATATGACTGCAAAGGCTAGGACATTCTGCTTGATGGCTGATATTAATGAAGGCGATAAGACTGGTACAGAGTACTTTGTGTTTATACTGAAGGAATAAGCCAAAAGAAATAGCCTTCTTGACTTAGTGAGGGAAATATTTGTGTAAATTTTGAGAGAAGATGGAGGTCAAATAACCTCAGCTGGAATGGCTGGAAACCAGAAACTCAGCCTGGCCTCCTCCTATATTGTCTTTTTTTTTTTTTTCCCCTGAACAAAACAAAATTCTTTCCATAGAGCTAAGTAGTGTTAGAGCCATGGAAAAATGTTTTTCTTTTTCTGAGAAGTGAGGAGTTTTGCTGTGATTTTGTGATTATGTGAGTGTGCAGAAAGAAAGGCCGCATGTGCTGACTGTGTATTCACCGTGTACTCACCATTTTCTTCATTCCCTCACAAACAGCAGTATCCTATTTGGTGATTCTCTCCATTCTTCAATCTAAAAGAAAAAGTAATCTATTTGAATAATTTTGAAAATTTAAAATGTAGGATTCATTAAAGAAAATTTGAAAAGTACACACCAAGAAAAGGAAAAGGTTATTTGCAGTTATATAAAAACCATTGCTAACATTTAGGTGTCAGTATCATGAAAAATGTTTTCTTTTTTCTGGAAAGTTATGTATAATATCACCCCCCTCCCTCATTTAATAGCATCACACAAGCATTGTTTTGTTGTTGTTTGTGTTAGTTCATTTTTTGTTGTTGTGACAAAATACCTGAGATAATCGATTTGAAGGAAGCAAGATTTATTTTGGCCTATGGTTTCAGTCCATGGTTGCTTGGCCTTTTTGCTTTGGGCCTGTGATGAGTAGCACATCATGGTGGGAGCGGGTGGAGAAGGAAGTCTGTTTACCTCTAGGCAGCCAGGAAGCAAAGGGAGTGGGTGTTGATAATGCCAAGGTCCCGGGTTTGTTCCCCGTAAGGGCCACCAAATGCCGCAGTCTGGCTGGGCACAATTCATGAGCCACTTGTCAAGCAGGAACGAACTTTATTTTTAGAACGCACACCTCACCACAGGAGCTCTCCAGGAATTCCCTCAGAGCCCAACTGCCACCACTGGCTCTTCCAGCCAGCCTCTCAACCCCCACTCCTCCCGCTCTTGAGGCCAATTGGCTGGGTCTCGTGGGCGGAGCCAAAAGAGTCCCCCAATGAGCAGCTCCGTGGTCTGAAAGGGCAGGGAAACAGCCCAATGAGCATCACCGCAGAGGAGCCAATCAGCTGGAAGTTTGCTGGGGCCGCTTTGGCTGTGGCTCTCAACAAGTGTGAAAGGGTATGGGGTTCCGACATCCCCTTCAACATCCCCAATAACCTAATCCTTCCCTTTAAGCCTCATTTCCTACAGGTTCCACCACCTCTCAACAATGCCACAGGCTGGAGACCAAGCTTTTAATACATGGGCCTTTAGGAGACATTTAAGATCCAAACTGTAACATTGTTGATGTATAATTGTCCTAAGATCACAGAAGCAGTATAATGTAGTGGTTTAAAGTCGAAGCTCTGATACTGAAGTATCTGGGCATAACTTGAGAAGGTTACTTAAGTGCTACCTGCCTTAGTTTTACATTTGTCAAATGGGATGATAATGGCAACACACTCCTAAGTAAAAAGCTATGTAAATGTTACATTTAAATGATAGTTATTATCACTGAAATAAAGATTTTATTACCATAAATATACTTACAAAGTTGAAATTTTTATAACATACAGAAAAGCAGGAGAAATAAAAATCACCCATTATTGTAAAATTCAGAGAGAAACAGTTAAGATTTTGGAGTTTCTTTCTTTTTTCAGTGCATTTTCTTTTACACAGTTGAGATAATATTGCATTTCCATTTGTATCCTTATCATAAGCATTTTATATACTCTGTAAACATAATTTTAAAATATTACATGAATCATCTCATCATCATTACTTGACCTTTCCCCCAATATTTTGACATTTAGATCACTCTTTGCCCCCCTGTTAAACTGAGATAATTATAGATTAACCTTAGTTAAAACAGCCAGGGACCAGAATTGTCCCTGACCAGAGTGGAGCCTGCAGTGGTTCTTTTAGGCCCAAGATGTAACGAGGTCTAATCCTCAAATCAGTTAACAGAAGGTTGAACATATTATAAATAAGTAAGAAATATTTTTATAACAGTTTTTTATTCATTAGAATTAGAGGTTATTTTCTTAGACTAGATCCTCAGGATCAGAAATGCAGGGTCAAGGGATAATAAATGTTATTTTTTTGAAGATCATACTGATTTTAGATGTACAGTAACAGTGTATGAGCCTGGCCCAATTTCTGGGGACCTCCAAATATTCCTCCCTCCATGCCTTCCTGCCCCAGCTCTGGGTCACTTCTTGGATCTGAAATATTGAGGAATAGTTGGCATCAGGGGTGCCCCAACTCTGATTTAATTCTAATTTAATTCTTAATTCTAATTTAAATTAGCACCTTTGACTCCTCCTCCTTACCCCTCCTCTTTCTTCCTCCCTAGCCCTTTTTTTGCTTCCTCTAATCCTCTTATACAGCTTTCCTCTTCTCCCATCAGAGAGGATATGATGGAATTAAGTCATGGCCATTAAGAAGTTAGTGACCTTAGCAGCCAGAATCATTGTTCCTCAGTGGGGTATTTGCATTTTAATAAAGGGTTCATGAAGTAGTGTTGAACTCAAATGACTGAACATAATGTTGACATTTGGGCACCCAGAGAGGGTGATGTCTTGGGTTATACAAATTATGCCAGTCTGTGGTATCCTAGATGTAGGCCAGTGCTGTGGATAGGGTGAAGTGAAGGCCAGTCTCTGAGAAGCCTCAATTTCCTCTTCGCCAAAGCATTTACTTCAGAATAGAAATATGTTTGCCTAAAGGTAAAATGGGTCTCTCAGAGGAACTATTAAGGAGAAATTGTTTACTGAATTGGATATAATAAAAGACTGGTCAGCAGCATGTGCAGACTCTTTACATAAAATATAACTTTATGATACCAGGCAGGGCTCCTTTTATGGCTTTTTTTTTTATCATCTGGTTGAAATTGCTAAAGGCGTGGAGGACTTTTGCTTGTGCATCTGTAGCCAGTAATTTGATTAAATTGCATGTCCCTGGGCAAGCAGAGCCAGGAGGTCTCTGCATGGGGCCGAGGAGGCTCTGATTAGCATGCTCAGACCTCTGAGTGGCAGAAGGTGGGTTAATTGATGGACTATTTCTACTTCAGCAAGGTCACAGTTATCTTTTAAGGCAAGGAGTACTACAGTTCTCTATTTGTGGACTTTCACATTTGTTTTAATGGATTGAAAAGTCAAAGAAAGAGTGTGTGAGAAGAAAATGGGAGGCACATGGACACAATGAGGTAAACTCTAGTTTTTACAGATGGACAAGGATGGGTAGAGACAAGTTCTTAGGAAGCTCTTAGAGGGCAGGTCCTACCATGTGCAACCATAGCCCTAGTTGGTCTGAAAGTAGGAGGAAGGGGAGATAGGAAAGCTTAGTCAATTGTCTGTTTTCAGCCATGTGAGCTTGGAGGCTTCAGAACCCCAGTCAGCAGGGAAAGTGGTCTTGAGAGGAGATGGTGGGTATCAGTGAGGGCTGGCCAGACATCAGCCTCCCCTTGCTCTATTCCAGAGTGGTCCTTCTTTGGCCATCACCAATTCATCTCTTTTCTTCTAGCCTGATCCAGCCTGATGATGGCCCCACTGGTCACTGTGGTATCCAGCCCCCGTGCCCGGCTCTTTGCCTGCTTCCTCAGGCTAGGCACTCAGCAGACTGGCTCCCTCCAGCTGCATACAGGAGCCAGCTGTGCATCCAAGAACCACTATGAGGTGCTGGTACTAGGTGGGGGCAGTGGTGGGATCACCATGGCCGCCCGCATGAAGAGGAAAGTGGGTGCAGAGAATGTAGCCATCGTGGAGCCCAGCGAGGTAAGTCTCCCCTTTTGAGTACACCAGTGTGTGTGTGTGTGTGTGTGTGTGTGTGTGTGTGTGTTAGGGATGCGGGTGCGACTGTCAGGTACAGGTTTGCATGTCTTCACGTTAGGCTGCTTTTTTATAACCAGGAGGAGAAATACTATCTGAAAGGATTAGGGGAAAGTGGAGGGAGGGAGAGAATGAGGACAGATCTCTTGGCTTTTTGTGTTCCTTAGGGTTGCCATAACAAATGAGTACAAACCAGTTGGCTCACACAGCAGATATGTATTATCTCACAGCTCGCAGAAGTCTCAGACCAAATTATTGACAGGGTCACACTCCCTCTGAAGGCTGGGTGAGGGACCCAGGCAGGGGAATTCATCCCATGCTTCCCTCCCAGCTTCTGGTGGTTGGTGATAGTTCTGTGGCTTGTAGATGCACCACTCCGTCCTCTTCCTTACCTTCACATGATGTTCTCTGTGTCTCTGTGTCCCTGTGTCTTCACAGGTCTTATAAGGTCTTATAAGGGAGTCAGTTATTGATTCAGGGTGTAGTCTATTCAAGTATGACTTCACCTTAATGTGATTACATCTGTGAAAATTCTATTTCCAAATAAGGTCATRTTCACTGGAACTGGGTTTAGGACTTGAACGTATCTTTTTGGGAGACACAATTCAACCCATGATACCCTCCTACTCCAACTCACTGTTCAGAGGAAAATCAATTGCCATTGTACTTTTCTATCTCTGTTGCAGTCTGGAAGAGAGATAGTGATTTGAGGGGCTGTCAATGGGTTTGAGAAATTTAAGTGTAAGTGGATTCTAAACAGATTATAAGGGAGAGAAGGAAGTCGATATTATGAAGGAAGATCAAGTGAGGCAATGTTCCATGAAAAACATTTTAAGATTGTACAAAAACTTCGGAAAAATATTCAAAAATTTTGGCTGTTTGCACAACATTTCCCAAGGAACTGAGTGTGCACCAGCTGGAATCTCTCTGTTCTTGGGAGAAAAAAAACAACATGAGTCCATGACCCGGTTTGACAGGGAGGGTAGGATGGAAAGACATACTTCTTAAGATGTCTCCCTAACCAGAAATAAGGCTATCCAGACCCATAATGGGAGAGAATACTTTGGAGTACTCTCTGCCACTTTCACTTTTAAAGTGACTTCAGTTAGGGACACCACTCCAAGTGACAGTAGCCTGGAAACTGTATCAGGTGGCTGTTCTCCGGCTCATGCTCTATTGTGGCTAATCCATGGATGGTCTCCCACTGGCTTCTCTTTGTAATTAGACTGGCTCTTCTGGGGACTGGACACACTCAGAAGCCAGAATCATGTCTGTCCTGTCTCTCAAGGAAGTACAGTGCAGGAGCCTCTTGACGAAGCTGCCGGGGGTTTGGCTTTTAGCACCTTCCCTTCTGTGTCTGATTGAGTGATTGCTAGAGCTGATGTTTGTGGTCTAAAAAAATCTGAGCTTGTATTTTTGTTGTTTTTTTCTGTTCAAGATGGACTTGAAATTGATGCATTCTCACAGTTGGAGACCTCTGTCCTCCTCCTCCTTCATCACACTCATTGCTGGTGATAGGGAGATTGCAAATCATTCTGTGTCCTCTTCACCTCCCTGTGGGTTTTGGCTGCTCTGGCCAGCCAGTCTGAAGTACTTTAGAATACTAAGAACTCTTTGTCCCCTTATCCACCCTACGAATGCATCCTCAGAAGCCATTGAATCAATCTGCCCTTTGCCCCTGAATCTAGAACTTTCACAACTAACTTATAGCAAGACTGAAACAAAAGGACTCCAGAAAACGGTGAAAATTTGGGCAGGCAGTGCACTGTGGGATAGGATTTGGCATCTATTGACTTT